TTTTCCGTCTTGTCTTAATTATAATCTACACAGTGAATCCCACAAGTATATTAAATTGTGCCCAATTAGTCATATTGAAAATACACTCAGGATTTTTCTTAACATTCAGAGTGATAAAATAGTAAAAGAAAAAAAATACTTTTTTTTTACTTAACACAACTTTCATATATCTTTTTGAAATGTATAAACGTTTATTAATTATTTGTGATTTATTTTTTATCTTTATCTGTTTGGTTTCAGCTCCTCATTTACCATAGTATTTTCTCTAATTGTTTTGCAGCTTAGCTTTTGTTGTAATATGGCAATTTATTATCTCTCACTTAGTGTGTTGTAGATGTTTTTTTTGCCTATATATTTTTTTTTTCAAGAAAAAAACAACATTTTTTGATCATTTCAAGATTCAAGAAAGTTCAGTCATTTTCTCCAAGAGAGAACTTGAAAATGTTTAAGTAAAAAAACATCAAATTAGCCACAAATTGACCACATTTTTAAGCACTGCTTGTGATTTCTATTCTAAACAAAAATAAAAACAAGACACAATTTAAACTTATCATTTTTTTGATATGTGCATCTTTTTCAAAATGTTCTCACATCCAAGGTTTCTATTTTTATATAACCTCTGATTTTTCCCACGCAGTGGAGGCTGAGGTGGTGAGCTTGCTGGGATCTGAGGAAGAGGATGAGGCGGCTTTGTGGAGCTTTGAGCCCCAGGACCGTCAGGAGGTCCTGGACAAGACGAGCCTGACGCCCAGCGAGGCGACGGAGGAGCCCGGCAGCCCCGCCCACTCCACACGGCCCCACAGCTTCAGTCCTGGCAGCAGGACTTGCTGGGACCTTGTGGAGTCAAAGGCCAAGGCCGAGGAGGACGCCCTCTACATAACCACTGACAGGGACGGAGAGCAGGAACCTCTGAGAATGCACTGTAAGTTAGAAACTTTAGGTGCTGCATGTGTAAACAAGTTGACAGTGTTCTTCTGATGCAACATGCAGCCTCCTCTCATGATGCTTCTTGGAGCCCCGTAGATACACCTTCATACCAACTCCTTGTGAAACCATGCCTTCCCTACACGCTGTTCCCTTTTTCACTTTTCTCTTTGAAAAGGCTGCTTTCTGAAAGCATGACAAAAGAACTCATCCCACACAAAATCACAATATTTCCATGCATCAAAGAGGTGACGTTACGGTACTGAAATCAGCACTGCGCAACGCGAGGCTTTCTCTTTTATTTAGCAGAGATCAAAGCGTTGCGCAGCTTGCCTACTAACAATCACTTAGCTCCCTCGTCTCATGTGATTTGGACTAGCCTGATGAAGGCAGAGCTGAGTTTTTACAACACTCCACCACACAAGGCTCTTCCCTTTGCCACATAAAAAACCAGCTCCAAATATGCCAACATCTGCAAACATTTGAAAAATCTTCCTCAAAGTCCCTGTAAGCAAAGCTGATTGGCTTGAGCTGTGACAGGAGGCGCCTTGTCTTTTTTTATGTCCATATGTAGCTTTTCTTTGCCCTCATATCTAGTTTTGAGATAAGACCAACCGCCTCATTAAATGTATCGTTTCACCCATAGTTTAGATGCACAGTGTCGTGTTCCCCCTCTCTCTGCATGCACCAGAATGATCAAACACGCAATCACTAATTTCACAAGCATAACTGAAAAATGTAGCAGCAACACCACCCCTGTCAGCACTGCTCATCATAGAGTAGAGGGAAAAAAAAGCTTTTAGAGAAGTCAGCTGTTAAACCATATATATCTGATATAAGTTAACCTTTAACAAACACTGCTTAGTCATCAGAGTGGATAAAACATGTCTTTTGCACAGAATGGAACATTTTTCTTTGTTTGTTTTCACAGTTAAAATCAGCTTTTCTGCTGTTTTTACCCTAAGGAGATTTTAAGCGTAATAAATACAAGAAAAAGAAGGAAATACAGCATTTTAATGCATATTGCAATTTAAATTGCATGCACAGACTTTAAAGGATCTTGCTCAATCTGTTGGCCTTCAAGGTCTGTCATTGGAATGACTCTCAACTACTGCCAAACCAATTCTTTGTTCAATAGCTGCAAATCTGCTGAAGTTAAAGCTCTTTATGTTCTTTATGCTAGCTTTCCTTCCTTCCTAGCTTACCTTCTTTATATCTCTTTATGCTAAGACTGTGGCAGCCATCTTGAATCACACTGAACACGCACACACACAAAAAAATAGACAGCTGAAGATGTATATGGATTTTTTAACTTTTTTTTTTTTGAGAGCTAAAACTCTCTGACTTTTGATGACGACTCAAACAATTAAAGCAAAAGTTTTCAATTTAAATCTTGCTTCATCAGTTAAAAATGTGTCGGGGATTATTTTTAGCTAATACCACAACATATATTTGCTCAAAATCTGTGAAGTTTCAGAGTTATGAGCATTTGTGTTTGTGTCAAGAAACTATGGCCTTCTTGAATTTGATTGACTTCAGAATTTTATCACTTCTAGATATATATTAGATGAATACTTTCTGAGAGTTTCAGTGAAATCCATTCACTGAGGGGTCACCACACTTTTTGAGACTGAGAGCTACTTCAGTGGGACCAAGTGACATGAAGGATACAAACATATTTGCATGGCTCACCTTTTAATTATAGTATTCATAATAATACATTTACATACCGTGCATGTGAATATAACCTGTCCAGGGTGTAACCCGCCCCCTCGCACAGTGATTGCTGGACATGGGCACCGGCGACGCCCGTTATTGAGCATGGACTTTGTTACTCCTTTTATATTAATCTCAATCAGAAACATTTGAAATACAGCGTATTTTATAAATATTTTATGTTATATTATTGCAGTATATGTAAAACTATTTATTTTAAACGTTTTAATTAATTATTTTCATTTCAAATCTACATCCTTGCAAATGTTATTTCTTAAATGTAAAAGCATAATTAATGACGATTTTTAGACGGTGCTCTTGGATGATGAGTGCTATTTTTAGAACATGCCCCCGCAGGTGACACAAGAAGTCCCTGTGGGCGACCAGGTGCCCGCGGGCACCTTGTTGGTGACCCCTAATGTCATAAGATATTTTTGCTAACAGACAGACTTGTACGTGTGTGACAGACACACACACGTATACACAAACACAAAGATAAATACAATATTGTCAGTACTTATTTCTCTCTGACAGGTAGGAACTCAGACTCCCAGAATGCTTTGGAGGATCTAGCCCACTACGAATATGCGGCCAGTGTGAAGAAGAACTCCCCCTCGGCTCGGCTCCACCTGAACCATAATGGCGCGTCAGCTGTGCACTGTCCGAGCAGCAACTGTCCGAGCAGCAGGCATGATGAGCTGCCCGCTGCCATCTGGTCCCCAGGAGCTCACTGCTCACCTGACGGAGCAGGTGGGCACAGATCCAGCAGTGCACTTTAAAAATCTTTAAAAATAAAACGATGCCTGTGGCTGGTTAATTGTTCAGAATAGTTCACAAGAGGAGCTCATTTGCAACCTGATAGCAAGTTTAGGTGATAACGCGTAATCTGATTTTAAATGCTAATGTTCTGAGAAAACGGAAAGCCAACCGGTGGTTTTTCACATATCAGGTTGTTTACACTAAAATGGTGTACCATAAAGAGCCTTTATCAGTTCCAGCGAACCTAAACAAGTCATGCATTTACAAATATTGAGTTTCAATACATGTCTAATTTACTTTCAGTATGACTCACAGTTTTAATGTCATTAAAACTTCATATGCATTTTTTGTCAAAGATTAAATTGTATTATCAATGCTATGCAGGCAGGAACGTCTTTAAATTAAAGTCACACATAAGTTCAGATCTGTTTAAGTTGCTCAGATTTGTAGTGTAGATTGTCTTTTTTTTTTTTTTTTTTTTTACTTTAACACACAGCTTGTGTGCTACAAGGAGAAAATATGAAGATGTGCCGACAGCTTACAGAGTCTCTCTGACAGTTGTACAGTTAGTGTGAGCTGGGGAGCAAAGAGAACCCCCTGCTCCATCAAATTCAATAAATCTTGGCCCCTCTGTCCCTCACTGTTAAACATGCCAAAATGGTTACTGGACCATGTGGGAATCTTTCTGTAAAAAGCTGAATGAAACTTGGGGCGTGCGTGGGTGAAGCGTTTAGTTTTCACTGTCACAGGCGATCCAAGCAGAATCAGCCTGCAGACCAGTGTTCATAAAAATAACAGCTAATTTTAAACATGAACGATTGCATTGAGAATATCTGCACCATTATGATACATTACAGCTGAGCACTCTAAATGTCCTGTTGGATTGTTTCTGTAGATGCAAACATTTTACTCCCGTTCAGTGGAACCTGTCGCAAGCACTGAATCTGCACCTGAGCTCAGTAAATATATCAATGCCAAGTTATTTAGTCTTTTTTACTGGATTATAAGGACATGTTTTCTGGACCTAAGTAAACAATAAAGCCAGCATCTCACTGGGCTACCAGTTGGCAGATACAGTTTGTCAGGGAGTTAGGTTCAGGTTCAGGTTTGGTTTATTTGTCATATGCAAAATTAATTCAACCTTTATTTATACAGATTAATCCCATTGAGCCTCGGGGACTCATTTACAAAGAGACCTGACCTTGTCTTGATTTTTGTTAAAAACAATGCAATTAAACGTTTAGGACGAGAAGAACTGTCCATAACAAAACAAAAACAACAACAAGAAATACCAAAGCATGCAGCAAAAATATTAAAACATACTAAAATACTAAAAACAAGGCGCCAAAGTTGAAAAAGAAATTCATCTACAGTGCGGTTCAGTTAGCAGTGAGGTTCTTCAACGAGGAGCCAATGAGAGACGTGTTTCAAAATTTTTGCAAGAGTTCTCAAATTTCTTACGTGAGTCATCGAGGGTCGCAATTTTGGTGCTTGGATTTCAAATCTGTTCTAAAGATTTTCTCTCAAAATAGTTAAAGTCATGAGGGGAGCTTCCAACCCGCCTCAGCTAATTCTAGAGCTGTAATCTGACACCTGCTCTCCTCCTTTGACAGAAAATATGTCCTGGTTTAAAACCCATATAATAATAATAATAATAATAATAATAATAATAATAGTAATAATAATTAATTACTTTAAAAAAATGTGTGTACTCTACTAAAATGTAACTAAAGCACACCTAAATCCTTAGGTGTTCTCCAGTAGAATAAATCAGGTTGCACGTTCGAGCCCAGTTTGCGTCAGGGAGGGCATCTGCTGTAAAACAATTGCTAAATCTTTTCTGCGAGTTCACTCGCTGTGACGACAGAAAGGAGCAGCCAAAAGAAAATAATACAACTTCACTAGCTTACATTACAAAGGTAGGGGCAGCTCGATGTGGGTACAATGTGCGTGAAGGTGGGTAATGAAACATTCTACAAGCCTAGAAACCAGTTCTGCAAGCCGTGCACCCAAAAACATGATGTTCAAAAGCTCCCACAGAAAATGCACTTTCCTTAACAAGTCTGGAAAGATAAGACATATATTTATATCTAATATTTCAGTTTGCGTTTAAAGCTGGAATTACTGAATTTGTTGACAGTCATGTGGATGAGGTTAGACAGGAATCCCCGTGGACTATGATGTTTGCAGATGACAACAGGGAACAGGTGGAAGAGAATTTGGAGAGGTGGAGGTATGCACTTGAAAGAAGAGGAATGAAAGCCAGTTGTAGTAAGACAGAGTACATGTGTGTGAATGAGAGGGAGGCTGGTGGAACAGTGAGGCTACAAGGAGCAGAGGTCACAAAGGTGCAGGACTTCAAGTACTTGAGGTCCACTGTCCAGGAAAATGGGGAGTGTGGTAAAGAGGTGAAGAAGAGAGTCCAGGCAGGATGGAGTGGATGGAGAAAAGTTTCAGGAGTGATTTGGAACAAAAGAGTGGCAGCAAAGGTCAAAGGAAAAGTTTACAAGACAGTGGTGAGACCAGCTATGTTGTATGGTCTGGAGACAGTGGCATTGACAAAAAGACAGGAGGAAGAACTGGAAGTGGCAGAAATGAAGATGTTGAGGTTCTCCTTAGGAGTGACAAGGCTGGATAAGATAAGGAATGAGATCATCAGAGGTACAGCACAGGTTGAACAACTGGGAGATAAAGTTAGAGATGCCAGACTGAGATGGTTTGGACATGTCCAGAGGAGGGACAGTGGGTATACTGGTAGAAGGATGTTAAAAATGCAGCTGCCAGGAAAAAGACAGAGGAGATCTATGGATGTAGTTAGAGAGGACATGGAGGTAGTTGGAGTGAGGACAGAGGGAGATGGAGGAGAATGACTCACTGCGGCAACTCCTGAAGAGGGAAAAGCTAAAAGAAAAAGAAGTTAGTCATGTTGATAAAATCTTCATGACGCTGATGCTGATGACAAGAAGGTTAGATTCTGACCAGAAGCTCTGCTGTTTATCTTGATGCTATCTTCACCTCAAACCAAAACTAAATTAAACAAAAAGAACAGAAGGAAGTCATAAAACCACCAGGCCATACCTTTCAGCCTGATTTTAAAAAGTACATATTACATGTTGGGGTGTGCAGTGGCTTGGTGGTCAGCGCTGTGGTCTTGTAATCCTGAGGATGTTTTTGTTTCAAGTCCAGGTTGCATCATGAAGAGCATCTGACATAAAACAATTGCCAAATCTTTCATGCAAGTTTGCTTGCTGTGGCAAACCCTGAAGGGAGCACCTGAAAGTAACTTGCTATTATATAATTTACCCCAATCTATATTCATGTTAGAGCTTTTTGCAGTATTTTGTTGATGATAAATCATATTTGAAAAACTAAAAACATCATGTTGATAATATTGTACCTTTATGTCCGCGGATAAAATGATATTACTGCAAAAACGTATTGCAGATCATTAATAGTTTTCAAAATGTTTTTTTTGTTTTGTTTTTGTTTATTATCTTGTTCGGGGAATATTAATTTCAACTCCGGAAACAAAACGTATTTAGTCTAACAGCAATGTATCTTAAAAAAAAAAAAAAAAAAAACATATATTTTTTTAAATAAGAACAACAGTTCTTTTGTTTAAAGGAAAAAAATCAACAATGCAATATTTTGACCAACACTAAAGTAGGAAAAGTCTAACATTGTAACCTAATTTATGCAGAACATGAACTACTGACGTCTTGTGATGTTTATAGGTATGAATGCAGCTCTGACGTCTTGCCATAAAAAAGTACATTATTTAAAAAAGTAAACAAATCCTACACATGTAAAATACATATAGTGTTGTTTAAATTCCACTTCTCTGGTCTCCAGCTGCTGTCAGGAGCGACCGGCAGGCCTGTCCGTTCTGCCACAGACTGTATGAACGAGGAGCTTCTTTAAGGGACCATGTCAGATACTGTCAGGAGAGAGAGGGGGGGCCCCTGTCCTGTCCTCTCTGTGGATACACTGCCCCCCTCAGGTCGCAGATGGAGCAGCACTTAGCACTTCACAACCAAATGCAGGACAAGGTGATTCATCATAATTATTGACACTAAAGCATCTTAAAACTCTGTCATCTTTTATGTTTAGTTTTTACTGAACAGATGGTTGTTCCTTTACATTTAGTCATTTTGCAAACGGTTTAAAGTGACAACAGAGAGGAGCACTTGAGTTTTGGTGCAATGAATTGTTTACATTTGTCCAAATTTCAGTCCAAGAGAAGTAAGTGAAGATTTAATGTGTTTTATAGATATAATGGCAGGAGGTCTTGAAGGTAGAGAGGGATGTCCCTGATTTGACAGTTTTTTTCTCTTCTACAACGCTGAAATTTTGCCTTAAATGTTTTGCAGAAAGAAACCAATTGTTTGTTTTTTTTGTTTTGTTTTTTTTCTGTTATCCTAGAGTGGCATCACTTTGGATCCAGGAATGGAAGCCAGGAAGTTCAAATGTCTGGAGTGTGGGAAAGCATTCAAGTACAAACACCACCTCAAAGAGCATCTTCGTATCCACAGTGGTGAGATACAAAATAAGATCAAAACAGCTGTGCTCACCCCTCATTTTGCCATTGTTCCCAGTGTACCACTAACCTTTACTTACTGTCTGATTATATGGTGGGAAATTATAACCAAATGGATGTGCCGATGAAAATAAAAAAGTTAACATAACTCATTACTAGACAAGATAATTGTGGCAAAAACATCGCACTCATGATGAAGGTATTTTTAATTTGCCCTTGGAAGAATGTGTTTTTAGTGTTTGCTTTCTGTGTTTCATCGTTTTAGGTGAGAAGCCTTATGAGTGCTCCAACTGCAAGAAACGTTTCTCTCACTCCGGCTCCTATAGCTCTCATTTAAGCAGTAAAAAGTGCCTAAGTGGTGGAGGACATGTCGGGGGAGGCATGGGAAGTACCAGTGGAATGATTAATGGACATGGTCAAAACTCTTTCCACCATTTACTCCCTACGTCTCCCTCTGCTGGCAGAAGTAGATCCAGTAATGACAATGGCGCTCTGTTTCCTTCACAAATTCAGAATCCTATCAGATCTTTGGGTCAGATACCAGCAGATTCTCACCAACTGTCAATGCAAGACATCAACCAGACCACAAGCTTTCCCAGTACATCTGACCTGGCCAGGCTGTGGGACTGTTCTTCAGAGCTCTCTTTGAAGGCCAGCATCCTGAAAAGGACAACTCTGATGCCTTATTTCCACCCTGGGACCAAAATTGACCAGATGCTTCAGGAGATGTTTCACAGAAATGGTAAGGTCGATATAGAATTTGAAAGGTTTGGTGTGGAGGAAAGAAATGTGGGTAATCATGAAGGGGCAGCTGAGAGGAAGGTATCCCCCGAAAGAAGAAAAGAAGCAGTGCAACCAAATGAAGCAGATCAAGATGTTCTCAAGCTAACGTGCCGCTGGTGCTCACAGCTCTTCCCGAATGTTGCAGTGCTCCTGCAACATGAGCGTAGTCTCTGCAAGGTCAACCGAGAAGCAATTGATGTTTCTGAGATTTTTCAGAGGAAAGACCCATCCTCACCAACTTTATTCTATCCCAGATCTGCTCTCCAACCAGAAAACACCAAAATGAGCGACAAAACCAATGGGCTCTCATCATTACCAAAGCTCAGCTGGCACTCTGTGCCGCAACAGCTTTTAGTTGCGATGCAATCTCCTCCACTCCCTTGTGATGCACTGCATCCACATGTGTACTTGTCCAGCCAGGAAAAGGCTAGCCCCAGTCAGCTGATGCAACATTCCCCAGAAATGCCATCACCTCGGGGCAGAAGAAGAGTTTCTTCCTCAGGATTAAGTTCACCTTCCTGCCTCAATGCCTCCAACTGTTCACCTGAAATCTTGTCACAGAAAGAACCTGGAAGTCCCTGGTCTGGTCAGAATGAACCACTGGACCTTTCTATCCCTAAACAGACCCCAAAACAAATTGAGAGAAACAAAATTCCCAATGGGATCTCAGGGAGAGAAGACAGAAAAGACCTCAGGATCCAACAGCTTGGTAGACCAAGTCCAACGTCACAACTTCCCCTGCACCAATACCCAGTGTTTAGTGGGACTGGAGCTCCAGTGTTTCCAGGCTCTGTGTATAACGGGTTTCCCATCTTTAGCCAATCTGGTATTGGGCTTTCAGTTCATGATGGGATGTTACCAACTTCATTTAGCCAAACGGCTAAAAGCCCTGGGTTTCTACCTCCTGTGGCTTACATGACGGACGCAGACGCAGAGGCTGTGTTGAAAAAGATCTACCAGGAGAGACAAAGTCTTATGGTATGACCATAAAATGTTTAAACATAAAATGCATCATAAATACACAGTTTACTATGTGCTACAAATAAAAAAAATAAACTAGTAAAAAAATTTTGAAATTTAAGCACAACCCTAAAGATGAATTATAATCAAAGTATAAACTGTTTTTCCATGCAGGGTGAGGCTTTAAAACGAAGTGCTCTGGACTACCTCTCTTTTGCTGATGATGGATTTGATGGTGAAGGAGGGCCAGGAAGAAAAAGGTTGAAGAAAACAGATGAGGGACTTTACGCTTGTGACATCTGTGAAAAAACGTTTCAGAAGAGCAGCTCGTTGCTCCGACATAAATACGAACACACAGGTCTGTAACTATAAGTCTGCAGTTTGTCTTTGTAAAAATCCTGCTGTTTTTCCATCCATACATACGTACAGAGGTAGTGGACACCCTGGACAGGTCACAAGTTCACCACAGAGTCACATAGAGACAAACAAGACAAACATTCACACTCTCATGCACACAGAGGAACAGTTTAGAGTTACTGATGAGGCATGTCTTTGGTTTGTTGTAGAGTACCTGGAGAAAACCAGTGTGCGTAGGTGGAACATGCTAACTCCACACAAGGCCAGGAGATGTACCAGAGATCTTCTTGTTGTGAGGCGCCAGCTTTAACAATAGTGTCGCCGTGTCACCTTTCATTTATATGTATTATATTCATTGAAATTTTAAGAGAGAATAGGTTATTTTGGAAAATAATGCCTGATTAAGACCATAAAAAAACAAAATTTGGAGCTAAAACAACAACATGTTGGCTTCAAGAAGCATAAAGACAATGAAATTATATATATATATATATATATATATATATATA